TACTCAGAACTTTACTGACCTTCCCTTAGCACACAGGAGCTTACTCCCTGGAACACTCTGTGGTAGGATGTGAGCTTCGGGTCTGCAACCAAAATTCTTCACCCACAGAAGCAGAATTCCTATACTACCACCACACCACCAGCACCACTGAACTTGTAAGAATATCAGTAGGGGCCTGGATTGGACTCTGGAAAAATGGCTATGGCAGAGGAGTGAAATTACAAGAAGTGGAATTGCAGAGGTTAGAAGTATAGCCTGGGCATGGTGAAAATCATCCAGATCTCAGAGCAGATGAGGCTGTGGTTGTGGGCGTCGCTACAGTAGCTAGACTCTGCCAGAGATGTGATAACCTGCTGTTTCAGTTGTGATAAAAACAGGGTAGGATCCAATACAGAACAGAGCAGAAATAAAATAGTTAGCAGGCCAAACTTATTTATTCATTCATTCTCAGTTACCGGGGGACAATAATGGAACAAGAAATTACAACAACAATAATAATAATTTCATAACCAGGGGTCGATTGGGAGGTCTGAGAATGCTCAGGGGAGTTCGTATCTCCTGAAGCCCAGGGGTATGGAGCCGTGTTGACTGTCACTGATAATAATAAAACATCCAGGGAGGTGCCTGGCTTTCCACACATGCATCAACTATGACAGGGGCTGCATGCAAAATCCATGCAGTGCAGCTGCTGCCGAGACGTATCGGGTTGTGTCAACAGAAACCCTTTCAGGGGTCTGGAGAAGTGTAGGCCATTGCCCTTATCGCAGTCTACATCTTCTAGCTAATATTTGCCCAACTCGGAGCCATGAATATCAGACAGCTCCAAAATGAGCATGAGAGTCTCTTGAGGCTTTGCTCTAAGTACCTTCTGCAAAGGTTTCAGTGGGAAATAATCTTCAAGTAAATGGCAGGATGGTTTGAAAAGAATAACCAGGTATTATATTACAGTTTGACTAGGACTGTTTCCTTTCATAGCGAGTTGGCGCATGCCTGTTTGTTTTTCTCCCTGGCACATCCTGCTTTGTCCATAAAACGATCTTATTCACAGTAGAAAGACACCACTGGTGCTCTCGGAGGCCGAGGGTCTCTCTCAGCTCTTTAGAGCTTCTTTTTTAGAGGCTTCAGCTTCCTACAACATGTGCACTCCCTTTGGCAGGATAAAAAGAGATCGCAAGAACAGTTACTTTTAAAGGCATAAAAATCACAGACAAGGTCCAAATCATAAGGGGAAATTTGTGAGATTTTGCCACATAAAAATTAAATCTCTTATGAGAGCTCTTTATTCTGACTCCTATAAGTCAGAATAAAATCATCCCAAATAAGGTCAGGCAAAATGAGGAAAATATCACAGATATGAGGGTAGAAGTTTCTTATATATTAAGATTCCTGCAATTAAATACAAATTGCTAATATCTAAATAGAAAAATTACAATAAATAAATTTATAAATGAAAAAAAAAATTCAAATGTCAAAGAAACACCACATCACTATTTGATTTCAGTAGTCAAACTTAAAAGAGACCCATTCACGCTTATGAGACAGGTAAAGTTTAAAATCAACCTCACTGATGGTACAACACTCCCCTTTAAAAGAGTAACCCGATAAAAATGTACACTCAGAGAAACTTGGCAGTATAATTTAAAAAACTCGAGCCGTATATCTTTAGAAAAATTTGTCTTAAAAAAAAATGACACAAAATTAAATGTTTTTCACTTTTAGGTTTTTTTATTTTTATTTTTTAATGTAAAATAAAAACATGCAGAACAGACAAGAGCTTTGCTTTAGGGTTGCAAAGAAAAGTTACTAAAGTAACTGCCTGTTATTCACGAAGAGATACAGTTCAAGCCCTACAGAGGCTCCCTGAAGCTAAGGACAGAGATGTAACCTACGCATGTGTAGCTGAGATGAAGCTTATTTAAGAAGTGAGGACATAGAGAAGTTAATGGTAGGAAATAATGCCACAGAGCAGTGACTGCATCGGTGCACAGCTTACCTGGACAAAAGAACAGCTGTGCCGTAACGACTAACAGGCAGGCAGTATATACGGTGGAGAAACACTGTACTGAGGGATGATTCATGTGCTGGGTGACAAGGAACAGGAAGGCACATATGTCATCATGCTTTTCAGAATGGCGCCCATATATTTTCCATGTGATGTTTTTGGGTTGCAGTTGCCTGCAAGTACCTGAAACCCCAGAAAATTAAAATATAAACAATGGGGAGATACTACAAAGGATGATTCTTGAGTGATTATTTAGTACCACTGTTCAAAACTATTCCTATGTATTTATTTAATACAATAAAATTCACTGTGGTGGTGCTATCATTATCTTGATTTTTGTTTTCAGTTAAGGTAAACCAGGATTGGTATGGCAGCAATTCATGCAGTGTGTTGGTGTATAACCATTAAACACGAGTCAGGGTCCGTCTGTGTAGCTCATCTCTGGACCCTGAACATCAGCCGTGGGATTTCACAGCACCCCCCAACACTGTCCCACTAACAGAAGGAGAAACAGGTAATGATGGTAGTATTTGGTAAAGGAGGTACACTGTCTGACTACAGCCAAGCGTGATAATGCTATCACGAGAAGGCACATGATAGAAAGGCATTTATCAGTATGGTTTTCCTTCTGATGCTAGTTTAGTGCTTGCTGTTGCTATAATTTTTATCTTATCTTATGCACCATCATTGTCTCCCAACCACTCAAGGCTGAAATATGCACCTAAATGGTAACTCTGGAATAGGGGCTGGGTCCTCTATAAATCCTGTGTGAAAACACAAGAGGAAGGAAAATCCCAATCGGGCAGGTTGGCTTCCAAACCCAACATTTGTCAGCTTAGGCCTTGTTTGATTAAAAAGCCCTGCGAAGTCTACTGGGCAGATATTGCTACTATCTGATGATGTTGTTTCTCATCTCTTTCCACCCTTGGTGTCTGATCCGGCTTGCTACCTCCCAACCCTGAGACTAACTCCCTTGTTCTCAGTAATTTTTCTTACCCACTGGATTTACCAGCTGCTCTCATGGTGGTTGCCTTTGGTTGTCATTTGGTTAGAGTGAGAGACACCTAGGAAACTGGTAAAACACATTTCTTGGTGCTTCTGGGAAGGCACTACCGGAAGCCCTTAGTGGGAGGTCAGTGAACTGAGAAGAAGCCTACAATCTGAGCAACACCAATAGGCTGGGTCAGATGAATCAAAAGGCGGAAGAAGAAAGCCCCACTGCTCTGTGCTAGCAGCGTACATTTTTGCTGCTGCCAGGACCTGTGGACACCACACTCCAGCTTCTTCAGCGCCCAGTGATTCCCTGAGCCACCTTCAGCGCTGTGACTTCTGGCTGGGGCTGCATCGTTGGTCATTCTCGTCCTGAGGCTTCCTGTTTCTTGAACTTAAGTGGCAACTGGTTTCTAGTCCTCCAGCTTGCTGACAGCCATTGTGGAAATGAACAGCCCCTGAGCATGTGAGTCAATCCAATCAACTGCCTTTTGTAGTTACAAGTATATGTATATGGTGGGTTTCCCTGCTCTGGAGAGCCCCGAGTAATCCCCTTTGGCTACAACTCCCCATCTGTCCCTGGTGTTTCAAAGTTTGAGGTCAAACTTTTTCCCCTATGCAATACTCTTGAATAAAAAAATCTGTCTTCCCATTTTAAAAAAGTGTCTGATGAATCATTTCTAACGCATTTAACATCACAAAATCTGTCCAAGCCCCCCTCCCATCCCAGACAATGGAGAGCATGGAAAGTGCTGGGAACATGACATGAAGGTCAGCCCCATTGCTAATCACAATGGATTTGACTCATCCCCAGTACTTATTCTGATGGAAAATCCATCTTCAATTACAAAGCTCTGGACTAGCGGAGGGATTTAGAAATGTATCCTTTGTTTAGCATTCAATTGTCTCTCACAAATTTAGGAACTATTCAGGAAAGACACATGTTACAATTGGGGATGAGAGGATTCTAGGAGGTTGTCCGTCTTTCTTGTTTTGCAAATGCGTTTGATTTTTTTTTTTTAACTATACATCAGTTGCAGACATTCAGAATCTCCGGCCTGCTAACTTGTATCTGAATCCTCAATTAAGGCTCACTATGCCTTCCTGACCACTTGCCAAGCTGGGGGGGGGGGGGGACTGTGTGAATCATCAACTGCAAACAGTCTCTGAGGTTGAACAAGGCTGTACTCTGCCTGTGTATGAGCTCTTGTGATGTAAATAAGAGTCCCCCCCCATCCCCCTTTATTTTCCATCTGTTTTGACCTCATCCTTTATATTGTTATTGTTTTTCTTGGTGATTTTACTTTTTAAAATGAGCCTCAAAATGTACTGCAAAAACTGTTGTCTCCTGATCATCAGCCCAATTAAGCTACAGTAAGCCCTGTGGAGAAAACAGCTTTGTCGGCTTAACTCAGGTTGTTGCAATGTTGAAGAAGATAACGAACATGAACTCTGATAGCTGCTCATGTGTGTGATGAGGGTAATATAGAGAAAGCAGCATTATGACAAGCAGATTGTAGGCAAAGGGGCATGTCATCAGGAGATGGGATTCCAGGAAAAGCCACCTCTAGCTCTGGCCAGGGCTGTGCTGTCCTGGGCCCTGGGCTGAGCTTCCACACATTGTTTCATTATCACCTTCATCTCTGAAAGGCGGGGATCAAACTGCAAGGCTCTCTTTCAAATGGCTAACAAAGGGTATGGGCAGAATGTGGACTAGTGCTTGTCATTAAAGTTGGAATGATCCGTGAATGTGTTCTTCTTGCATCTTACTGAAAATAAGATAAAATTAAATAAAAATGAAGGTGCTCTTGTACCTTCTGCTGAGTGTCTTGTGAGGTGTGGGATGGGGAGTGTGCTGCCCTGTGTGGGTCCAGTGGCATGTCTGGACAGATGTGGAAGAAGGAATGCTGAGTTAGAGACTGTGTGATCTCTAGGGTATAGAGTCACTGCTCCCTAGACTTGCCCCAGCGCTGCAATGTTTTGTTAGTTGATTTCTCTCCGTGGGCAGTTTTCAACATGGATTCAAGTGAATTCCGGAGGAGAGGGAAGGAGATGGTGGATTATATAGCTGACTATCTGGAAGGCATTGAGAGATATCCAGTGTACCCTGATGTGGAACCTGGCTACCTTCAGCCCCTGCTCCCCACCGCTGCCCCCCAGGAACCAGAAACATATGAGGACATAATCAAAGACATTGAGAAGATAATCATGCCAGGGGTGAGTATGTGTCTGTGGTCAAAGGACATCACCTATTGGAAGCTACACTTCTGATGTCATGGGTTCACTGCAGCAGGTAGACTGAAGAGAGACTTCTATCACTGTTTCAGTTTCAGCTGAGACATTTGAGGTTTAGGGAAGTTAGGTGGTCTATGAAGTTCTCATGGGATAATAAATAATACACCCAAACTACATGCACTCCAAAGGCAGTGCAAGGGTTTTCTCCCAAGGTCCCCAAGACTCAGCACTTGCTCCACCATAGTCTGTTCCTAGAGTGTATCATCCTATGACAGTTAAAAAAAAATGAGCTCCTGGTAGTTCGTTGCAAATAGTTCAATTAATTATCCTCAATAAAGGTACTTGTATCATTCTTATATCCACTAAAGGATAACTTTCATCTACAGAGGGAATGTTCTCCTCATTTTCTTTGGGCATGGGCAGCATGCACAGATTCTGCCTAAGGGCACAGAATAGCTGAGCTTTCCCTGGTAGTCACAGGGGTCAAAGGCTCTCAGTGAATCTCAGTCCTACTTTACTCAGCAAGCAGTTTACCTAAAAGCCTATCCCTTAGCATGGCTCTGAGCAAATGGGTCTGACCCTGGTCATCAGATCATGTGTAAAGTCTGAATGTGGTGCTGGTAAACCTGCTAGATTGCACACCCCCCCGCCAGCACTTAGGTGGTTATGGCTGTAAGGAAAGAGAAAGAAGCATGCTATATGCAGAGGAAGGGGGGTCGGAGATAGTGTGTACTCCCTCTTGTTTTCCGATAGAATACAGAGGCTCTGGGGAGGCATATAGTCAGCCAAAGTCCCAGGCTTCAGAGTTAGCTCCTCGGTTCCAGAACAGCTCTCACAGCCCTTGTCAAGTTTCATCTTCAGAAGATTTCCCCTGACATTTGTTCTTTGAGTAAAACTCAAAATTCTGACTCTAGCCTGCACGTTGAACAAATAAACTAAGCCAGTCAGCATAAAGGCGGTGCAGGGAGGCAGCATTGAACCTCAGGCTGAGCAGGAATACAGGAGTGCAGTGCTGGAAACATGTGAACACTTCCCTAAAGAGTCTGCATTCTAGAGGAGTATTTACTGTGTAGAGCAAAAGTGGGAAACACAGAGGCTCTGGGGTTAGAGCTCCACGGGTGTCAGGTCCAGCCAGCCCTCTGCTAGCCCTGTTTGACCAGATGTTAGGGGAAGAGTCCGTGCTGTGTCCAGCCAGTGTGGGGCCACCCACCCCATATGCTCTGTGGCTATTCACAGAGAGTAAAGCAGAGGAGTGTCTTTTGCAGTCAAGAGTCACCTTGGCCTTTCCAAGACGTGGGTAGTGAAGAGAGACAGAGCTGCAGACAGTGTGGAGCCTCTAGATACCTGAAAGAAACTGAGGCCCTGGGCCCCAGCTGTGCCCTCTGGCCCTGTGCATTTGTGCCGTCTTTGGCCTCTTCCTCTATGGGCCTTTGCAATTACACTTTATAAAGGCATTTCCGCAAAGACAAGCGCGTTACTGCTACAGATGTTTTGGTTTTTATCTGAACATTCTTTTTTTTTTTCTTTCTAAAGCCTCATGGGCCCCACTCCTGCTCTGCTGAACACATCACTCAGCCTGTGAAGTTCTCCAGAGCCTCAGAGACTCACTGTCAGCCTCATTCCCCCTCTCCCTCCTTCCCTCCCTCCCTCCCTCCCCCCATTCCCCCTTCCTGTTCTTGCTAACCCTGATTTTCTTTCACTCTCACTTTTTTCCCTCTGGCTCAGTCCCACTCCCAGGCTTGGAGACAGACATGCAATGAGCCTTGCTGGAATCTTCCAGTTTTTAATGAGCCTTTCTCGTTGGCTGTCTTCGTAATCGGGGCTTGCTCGTGCCACATAAATGCCTAATAATGTGGTTTTACTGAGAAAAGACATGTTTATATCTTTGCAAAGACTATGAAAAAAATGGCACTGAGCTCGTCAGCTTTCTGACCCTGTAACAGACAGCTGAAATGACAGATTTGCACAGGAGCAGGGTTCGCTTTGCCTTATAGTTTTGGAGGTTCAGCGCCAGCACTCACTGGTCTTAATTGCTTTTAGCCTGTGGTGAGGCAGAAGCACATGGCAGAGGAAATCTACTTGCTTCTCGCCTGGATTCAGAGAAAGGCACCACCATCGTACAGTCTCCTCTGAGAGCACATCACCAAAGCAAGGCTTCTCACTACCTCCCAAGAGTGCTACCTTGGGTTCTTAAGAACCTCACCATAGAAAGGTGTTATAATGAACATGTAGACTAGCTGCATTCAACGTTTCTCAAGTTTTTGGAGGCTGAGTTGAGATGAGGGCTTTCTAAGTTAGAGAAAGCAGCTTTGTACCCTGCAGTGGTAGAGAGCTAGCTCTCTGCTCTCCCCCTCCTCCCCCACCACACTTAACCTCTTCCTGCTAATAGCTCCTTCTATGCCTGACACCCAATGCGCCTCACATCCTGCAGACCCTTACTTTCATCTTTACTTCAGTGTTTACATGGAGTGATTTGAGCTCCCAGCTCCGATAATGACAGGATCTAAGCCCCTCCTGCTCACAGGGATCATCTTTCTTTATACACTGGTGAAGAATGAACGCTTGTTTTCTGTCTCAGCCCGCCATTCACTTTGTGAAGAAATCTCTTCCCCTGGACAGGCATACTCTTCTTTTAAAAAAATTAAATATATCATCTTAGAAAGATATCGGCCTAACACGGTGTATGGTGGCCTTCTCCCAGAAATTTGCACTTTGTACAGAGGGTAGGTTCCTCATGGTGGAGGGTACATCCTGATTTCAGAGATTCTAAAACTCAACAGGGTTTTGTCTTATAATCGATGGAAAAATAAAACTTTATTTGACCAGAATCTGGAGGAGAAAGCCAGAGATGCTATTACTTGGATAGCAATGCAGAAAGAAACCAAGTTCCTTGATCTGAGGGCTGTTTTTTTCCAGAATCTTTTGATCAGAACCATATAAGCATTCTGAATGTTGGGGAAATGAAATATTTCCTTAGCCTGCTACAAATCACCACATAGAAGATAACATTTTGTAGTTGTTGGTGGTGGTTTTTAGTTTCCTTTATTTTTTATTCACTTTTTTATTCCTCTTTGTTGTAGACCCACCCCCCTCTCCTCACACTCCCACCCTCCGTCCCCAGAAGATAACTTTCAATGTTTCAAAAGCAGAATATTTTTGTTTAATGAAGTTCGGGGTGGGGGGGTGGAGTTGGTGTCCAAACTTTCCAAGTAGATAATATCAGTGCCCTCCATACATTCTGGAATTTTTAGTCTATGATCAGTCTGATATCACTTTCTACTAGCCCAAATCCTATCATGAAGCCCTACTCTCATGATCTAAGTACCTCCTGAACTGCCTTTTGGGGCTAGGGATAGTGTTTCAGTTTGCATATGGCAAGGGAAAGGAATAAATACTGCCAATGGAATCAATACTGGTCTGTGTGTCCCACCACCGCCCTGGTTTCCATCATCCCTGGGATCCCCTAGATCACCACTTAGGTGCATCTCCTCCCTGTCAACTGGAGCTTTTCCTCTGTACCTAACCCAGGGATGGTACAGAGTAGTCCTTTGCTGCCTCTGTGCTGGAGGAGGCAAGGGAGACAGCAGCCATTGTGGGAAACAGGGGTAACAGCTCTTCTTAAGGAGACTGATTGTTGGAGGGAACAGCCTCCAACTGTGGGAAGGGATCCTGCAAAAGAAATCTTTAAACAAGAAAAATTGGGCATTAAGAACAAAATGCACAAAGGTAACTGGATTTGCTTGGGTCGTTTGGGAAAACCAAGCTTTTTACCCCAGGACGTCAGTCTTCTGGTGCAGCACTCTTCTTACCCAGAGCACCCAGCAAGAACCTGAAGCAGTCTTGCTATCATCCCTACCGAGAGGCTTCATGTGTTACCACAAATCATATTAATTTCCCATATTATTTTATGAAGACAGCATTTCCTTCTTGACGAGCAAAGATATTCAAGCACAAACCAGGGAGACCGTTCATTGTACTGACAATGAGATGAAATTCAGAAGGAAAGTGTGGGGTGATTGAACTTGAAATACTCTGTCCCAGTTGCCTTCTGCATGCATCCTGGAGGAATGCCAGGCTTCTCTCAGGTGCAGCCTGACCTCTTTGCCCCAGATTAACTGTCCACCTCCCCACAGGTAACACACTGGCAGAGTCCCTATTTCTTCGCCTACTTCCCCACGGCTTGCTCTTACCCAGCCATGCTTGCAGACATGCTGTGTGGGGCTATCGGCTGCATTGGCTTCTCCTGGGTGAGTATCTCCACAAGCCTGTGGTGGGGTCTGTTCTTGCATGGGGAGATGATCCCTTTGCACACAAGACAGAAACAGGTAGCTCTGTCACCTATAGGTAGCAGGGCCATATTGCAGAAAGCAGAGTGTGGGCTCTAGGGAGGTAGTTTCTAAGGGAAGAGAAATTCTAAATGAAAAGTTTGTGTAGAAGGAAGGGCAGAGGGAGAAGGGAGAAAAAGGGAAGGAAAGAAAGGAGGGGGGAAGGGAGGAGAAGAAAAAAGAGGGGGGGAGGATGGAAAGAGGATGGGATGAGAAGGGAGGGAAAGGGATGAAGAAAGGAGAGGACAAGAGAGGAGAGGAGAGGGGAGGGGAGGGGAGGGGAGGGGAGGGGAGGAGAGGAGAGGAGAGGAGAGGAGAGGAGAGGACAAAAGGGAACAGAAGAGAAGAAGATTCTGCTTAGGGTTGTTTTGTTTGTTTTGTTTTTTTATAAGCATCCAATTTGAATTAAAATTCCCAGCCCAAGGCAGTGAAGCTTCTACAGCCTAAGGCTGGATCCTGCATCCCCCAAGACCAGAAGATTGCTATGTACATGAAGCCTGAGAACGCTACTAGCTCTGTCTCATTCCACTGCCCCTCACCAGGCTACTGCCCAGACTATCTGATGGGCAAATGTGCAGAGCAAAAGTGCTGAAAATAGGCTTGTGCCTGCCTGCAGGCCATTCATCCCTCCCTGTGTGAGGTCTCTTTGTACATGGAGTAAAGACTTAGAAAGTTCTCTGCTCTGAAGGCATCCAGCCTAGGTCCTAGCTGTGTGCTTCAGGAGAGATCTGAAGCAGGTGTCATTGGCTTTCAGGTCCCTGGCCTGCTCACACTGTGAAGAACTCCCCAAGCTCTAGAACTGTCTTTTCCTCTCTAGGTAGGGACTATCTCCCTTATCTGTGCCTTGGAGCCTAATGGTAAGACTAGTGTTGACCTGGGATAGAGAGGGAAATAGTGTGTGAGTTCTTAGCAGCCAGTAGAGCCCAGCTGAGCCGGCTGTTTCACTGCACTACACCTGCTCTGCTTCATGCTATGATCCTCAGGTGCTGGGCAAATGAAAGTCACAGCTCATACGAAGGGCTGAGGTGGCCTTCCTACTGAACTGTCTATGTCATTGCTCTTCTGTCAGGTGTTACTATTTTGGAACACAACCTGCTCATGTGTTACCCAGCAACTTATGATGTCATCATGTGTCGCTGGCCAGGTGGCCACACCTGGAAGACGTGGTTACCTTGCCCCTTAAAGGGACAACCCCGCATGTGGTCTCTCTCTCTCTCTCTCTCTCCGCCCCATTCCTCTTTCTTTCTCTCTCCCCACCATGTCCTGTTCTCCCACTCCCTCCATACCCACTTAATAAACCTCTGGCATAGAGGATCAGTTGACCCCAGCCTTATATTTCTTTAAATAATAACTAACATCAGGCACTTGGAATCTTCTTTTCCTGGGAACAGACCTGGCTGAGTGACATTTCAGTGACAGGTTTCATTGGTGTAGTTCTGCTTCTCCAAAAGCCATTGTATGTCTGTCTGGGGAGCCACCACCAACCTATGATTTATCTGCTTTTCTAGAATGGTCCTAAGTGAGGAAATGCCTGACTTTCTGGCCCAAAAGTTGTGTTGCTTGACAGCTGTGTTTCATAACATGGAATATAGACCTGCTGGTCTGTATCTGGAATTAGGGCTAGCCTGGCTGCAGTAGAACTCACCACAATGGGGATGGCCATCTGACCAGCAGGGAGAAAGTCCTCATTTCCTCTTGTCATCAGTGCAACATAATGCTAGAATGCATAAGAGCACCCTGGTCACCAAATAAAAATGGAGACTCAAGTCACCTTTGCCTGGACCTTCAAGAACCCAGCCACCTTCTATGCGCAGAGAGAGGAGAGAGTCCAGACACCAAGTGACTGGGGAATTAAAAGACTACACAGTAGATGAGTGGCTTGTCTGGTGTTGCCTAGCAGAAGGAATTAGCTAACACCCGTTTCCTTGACTCCATTCTGCACTCTAAAAACTCACTTGTGCCCATGGAGGAAGCTCTACCGGCAGATCTTTCTTTATTCTTCTGTTACATGATCAAGCACACAGGGCACATGCAGGCAGGCATGGTGGCGTAAGGTTCATAAGGGTGCCATTCTCCTTATAACAATATGGATGAAAGAAGCTATGTCTGAGGCTGAGTTCAGGCATTTGAGGCCCATCTGAGATGAAAGATCTTAATGTGGAACTTAGCCAGAGTTAACCCCAAAGTTGTCATCACCTGGGCCTTGCATTAGTTCCTAGAGAATCATGGCTGTGTGTGGTGGTGCTGGGGAAGTTGATGTCGTGGAAAGATGATAGGGTTGGTGTAGCAAGTCAGAAGGGGCCACAGAGATCTACCCACCATGGATCCCTGTGTTGTATCCGGAAGGAGCTGAGGAAGAGCAAAGATATGTCCTTGTAAAGCTCTGTCAATGCAGCCAGTCCCGGTCCCTGCTTCTAGGCCTCCTGGCAGAGCCAACCCCAGTGGCTCCTCAGGATCTCTGGGAAAAGAGAACACAGCATCATCTCAATCCATTTTCTGGGGGAAAGAACAAAATACCGTATGCTGAGTTCTTTATAAACATTAGAAGTCTACTTGAGGGTGCGAAGAACATGCTGCTGGCATCTGGAGCAAAGCCTGCTGTGTGACTGCAGCAGGGAACATGCAGCAGGCAGCAGGCATGCAGGAAACAAACAAGAATTGAGGTGAAATTCCTTGTTTCTCTCTAATTCACTCTTAAGATGACCCACTTTCCATCAGTTCATGTCCAAGGAGCCACACAGGCTAGTTGACTCAGCCTGTGTGGCTCCCCCACCTCCTCATACTCTCATGGTGGGTTCAGGTTTCAACATGAATGTGGGAAGACACACTCAGATCACAGCAGCCAAGGGTCTAATTCCCTACCAAAGGTGGATTTGGGGGACAAAAATGTGAACTTTTTGTTAAGTTGATCAAATAAAAGTCACTAAAGAAACAACACTTTTCCGTGTCACCCTTTTGTGCAGAGGCCAGCGGCCCTATGGCGTGGCTTAACTCCTTCACTTTCTCCTCCAACCCCCACTGCAGGCTGCAAGCCCAGCGTGCACAGAGCTGGAGACAGTGATGATGGATTGGCTGGGGAAGATGCTGGAGCTGCCAGAGGCCTTTTTGGCTGGAAAAGCCGGTGAAGGGGGAGGAGTGATCCAGGTAAGGTGGAGAAAGCACAGAAGGCAGTCTTCTGGGAGTGTGGGCTCAGCAAAGGACCACAGCTGCAAACAAAAAACAGTACCCATGTTACTTTTTGCTCTGCCCTGGGGATTCTTCCAGGGAACAGGAAACCCTGGTCTTGGAGTGGATGGGATCAGGATTTAGATTCTGGTGCTGCTTCCCACAAGCTGTGGGCAAGTAATCATCTCTGAGGGCCCTTCTGGTAGATAAAACAGCGGCTACCACATAGGCACATGTTGGGGCATCCATTGCTGGCCTTCATGCCTAAGCACTTTCAGACACACTTTCTCACAGCACTGTGAATTAGGAACTCTATTTGACAACCAAGGAAACTGAGGCACACAACAACTGATAACGTACCCCTCAGGTTCTAGCTTGGAAGTTATAGACCTTGTATCAGTGTAGTCCAGAATCTAAGGTCTTGCTGTCACCACAGGATCCTGTCTTTACCACAAGTGACAGCTGTGGCCATGCTTCAACGGCTGTATGTGCTACTTGGCTGTATGTGCTATTTGTCTGGGAGCCAACGGCTTACCTAAGGCTTCTGCTATGTCTATGCATACATTTAATTCATTCTCTGTATTCACCAAGAACAACTGTAGAGCCTACATGAGGGCACACAACAGATGCAAATGACAGCCGTGGTGAATTTTCCATTCCACCAGGATCTTCAGAGTGAATGATTGGAATTTATGCCTTTTTTTTTTTTTTTTAAGACAGGGTCTCACTATGTAGTCCTGGCCTGGAACTCACTATGTAGAACAGGCTGGCCTTGAGCTCAGAGATCCACCTGCTTTGCCTCCCAAGTACTGGGATTAAAAGAATGTGCCACCATGCTCCAGCAAATGTGAGCCTTTAAAAAACATTTTGTAACACGGATGACAAGCCACATAACTACATTAACTCATCACCCTTCTGTACGTTATTTTTCTTATGTCAAGTTCATGGTTTTAATACTGAGAAAGTGTTACTAACTAGAAGAAAGAATTTTCTTGTGTGTATATATATTGTTTCCTCAGAAGCTCTGAGAATATGATAAAGTAGAGATGGCTCCACATACTTTATGGGTGAGAACACTGGGGCTGACAAGAGAATGCCTTTGTGGAAGAACACATGTCTGGTGTGGCCAAACTAAACTAGGAGGCCAGGCTCTCAGTTTGTACTCCTGAGACTGTTCAGGAAGACCACATGTTTTAACCTCCAAGATAGGGTCTTTTTCTTAAGGGTGCTACCCACAGTTTAGTGACTTCAAATTCATTTCTTATCCTATGGTTCTGTAAGTTGGACCTAGGTTTTAATGAGCTAAAATCAAGACTGTCATCTCAGAAGCCCAGGGGGGAAATCTGCTTCCCCACCTCCTCAAGTTCTCTAAAGCCTTCTGGAATTCCTTGGCCTGCAACTCCCATCTTCACCTCCCAAAGCAGCTGCGTTCCATCTCGCTGACCTTTTTTTCACTGTCGTGTTCTGACTGCAGATGTGAAATTGGGTCTCCACTCTTAAGGACCCGTGTGATAGGATTGGGTCCACTCCGATAATCCAAGGTAATCTTTCCCAGTCAAGGTTCTTAATGTAATCACATTAACAAAGTCCCCTTTCCCCTGAAAGGTAAACAATCTCAGTCTGGGAAAGAGGCCTGGCATCTTGGTGATGTGGGAGATGCAGTCTGTGTTGCATGCAATCTGCAGAAGCCCCCGGAAAGGCCTTGTTCTCACTGTGGGTTCCTAGCCTCTGCCCCTGGAGAGTCAAACTCAGCAGGGCTTGGGAATGTAAATTCTTGTTTATTCTAATGCAGAAATCTGTAGGCAGGCCAGCAAGTACCCACGGCTCAAACCATTCTTTACATTCTTTGATTAAGTCACTTTGTCACATCTAAGTCACTGTAAGTAGGGAGCTGATAAAAATGAATTACTAAGCTGAGACCTGTAATACCAATGCTTGAGAACTGGGAGCAGGAGAATCAGGAGTTTATGGTCATCCTCAGTGAATTCACACAACATGAGACCCTATCTTATTTATATATATGTATAATCACATATATGATACATGCCATAATATACTATTATATATATGGAATAAGTAAATGTGCATATATACTGTACCGTAACCGAAGCATAAATAATACATATTGTAAACTAGACCTTTTAAAATGGCAGCAGGCATGTTCTAGGGAAGTCCCAATACAATTTCAGTTTTCTTTTCAGAGGTTGTATGACACAATCAGCCCTCCTTGGCTAATGTTACCAAAAGGTGCTGTTCCAGCTTGAGAAGGGGCTGCTGCATAGGTTCCCCAAAATGCATAGTCAGAGCTGTTTCCTCTAGGTGAAGCCCCGCTGGCTTCCTGGGCTCTGGTGCTGGAATCCTCATTTTCCAGGGACACCCTTGCCCTCGTCCTTGACCACGCAGCCAGTCAGGGTTACAGAGGCCAGCAGAGCTGTCTGCAGAGGCATGACCTATTTATTTCTGCCCAAGTGTCTCCCTCTTCACAGTAAGCCTGACCCTAGAGCAGACTTTCCACCATAACTCCACACTCACTGCTGAGATCTTAGCATTTGGTAAGCTCTGTTTCCTCACACATGACCCAGCTCTCTCCCCACCTTGGGGCATTTCCTCTGTTCTATGTTAGAGAGTAGGCATTTCAACACTTGAAGAGCTTGAGTTTCCATAGACTCAGTACCTTTTTCATAATTTCTCTCTCCTTAAATAATTTTTTTTTTCTTTTTGGTCATTTTTCCCCTCTGTATTTTCAGTGAATTGCTCATGGTTTTCTGTGTATCACTGTAATTTTCCACATTGCTAACTTACTATCTTTCATGTCAATATTGACTACACTTTTTTATTTTTAAAAATTATTGTGCCCTCTGTCTTTATGGATAGTGGACACTCACTGTAAAATGGGAAAATACATTAACTATTTTAGAATGTAATTCTCTCTAGTCTTATTTCAATATCTCTGTACGTGTAGGTTACTCTGTAGGTAGGCTACCTAAATTGAGATGATACAATACATACACATTTTCAGCATAATGTTTTACTTTGTTATCTTCTCACTGTTTAACTTATTTTAACTTAATTGTATATTTTAATTAATTTAAGTAATACTTTAATTTATTGTTACTGTTACTACTGTGCGTGTACATGCTGGGTGCACGTGGACACGCGGATCACAACCTTGTGACGGCGGTTCTTTTCTTCCACCTTTATGTGGCTCGCCAGGCTTGCAGGGTGACCTCTCTTCATTCCTAGCCATCCCACTTCAGCTGTTCTACAATTTTTCTTAATTTATGTTTGTTTGTTTGTTTATTCTTGCTTTTGTTTTTCACGACAGGGTTTCTGGGACTCACTCTGTAGACCAGGCTGGCCTCGAACTTACGGATATCCCCCTGCCTCTGCCTCCCAAGTGCTGGGATCACAGGCATGCGACACCACTGTCTGGCAGTTTACTTTTTAAGTTAATAAACAAAGCAATGGGCTTCATTATGGCACTTTCAGACACGTTATTATCCTTAATTTTTATCCACCTCCAATCCAGTGCCCTGCCTCACCCTTCCTGTTCCTCTCCTATTAGTCCCCCTCTTGTCCAAATATTCTTTGAGACTATTATTACTGTACAATTTCTTACGATGTGCCACAATTTATAGAAATAATGCCTAAGATATTAATCTCATACTATGTTTTTGGTCTTGTGAGCAATATTTCAGAGGACAGCCTTTAGGATAAGGTGCAACAGTCTTCCAAGACCATCATCCAGGCTTCCTCCAAGGGACACATCAGTGCTAAGCCAAGACCAGAACAGAACCACACATGAGAGCAGTTATGAGTCACCTTGTCCTACAGTGAAAACACTTTCATTTTCCAGTCTTTAATACCCAAAGATAAATCGTCTAGTTGGTTACTTCTCAAAGAGTGAGGTTTATTGAGTGACTACTACAAACCTGACTGTGTTTTAGCCTATTTAATGTGCTTTATAGAATCAATTTTCATCCTCGATATACTTAGGAAGATCGGCAACATTATCAAGTAAAGTTCTCATAGCAAAGAAATTGAGGCTCAGGCAAGTCCAGGGCAGAAAGTAAAGGCAGTCTGTAAAGATGGGGTTGAGTATTATTATCAGCTCACCCAGGCTCTTTGCTTGGGATGGTGCCTGGAGGTTTGAAGGCTACGTGGGTTAAACCATCCTTTCAGTAAAGACAGTCTCATTTTCAGAAGTCCCAGCCTTAGATTAGGACTAATTCTGGCATCTCTCGGCTCGGGCTTCAACAAAGCCCTTGTGAGCTCGACCCAAAGCAGACTTCCTTGTGTTTGCTGCAGGGAGCTGGCTGGCCCTTTTCAGCTCATGAGGCTGATTGTCGGTAATTTGTGAGGCCTTAAAGAGCACCGGGCCCAGCGACAGCCCGCGAGGCAGCCTGCCTTATCGATCCCCTCAGAGCTGTAATCACAGCTTAGCCTCGGCGGCGCAGCAGTGGGTGTCTGAGCCGAACGGCACACCATCATTGTGAGGCCCGACAAATGAGACCTGCAAAATGGGTCTCTTAATTGGGTTTGAAAGCTCTTGTGGAAGAAAAGCTGCCAATTTCTTACCCTGTGTGAGGTGACATTTGTAAAACCTAGAAGATAAAAGGACCTTTCGGCTCAGGGCATCAGCAGCCTTGAGCACCGACTCTCCCCCAAAAGGTCCCTCCCACCTCAGAGCACGCTTGCCATGGCAACCTTTGTTTGCCTGAAGCAAAGGCATCAGCCAGCCACACAAAGACGGGGAAGGGGGGGACGGGGGGGGGGAGACGGGGGGGCGGGGGGGAGGGCAGGAGGTTGCCGGTTACAGGTAAATGAAGGAGCAAGTGTGTGGGCTTAGTTGGGTGCAGCTCAGGTCTGCTCAACCCCCCATTTCTCAGTCACGAAGCACAAAGGTCACTGGGCTCTGTCAGTGCTCTCTCTCTTCTTCCCTCAGCAAATCTCCACTTCCAGAAAGGGACAGAGAGCCATTCACTTATATGTTCAAATTTGCCCAAACCGGATCTTGCAATAGCATGTTGAGATCCAATGGTCTAAGGCTAATTGTTTTTTACACCGAAGTTTGTTGCTATTTCTTAAATTATTTTTTGTTGGCAAAAGAAAGAATTTTCTCTCAGAACATAGACAGTGCCCAACAAGTTCATAATAGGGAGGTTGGCATGGCATGGCAAAGCATGACCTCTCAGAACCATTAATTACAAAGGAGTCCAGGGCTCTGAAGAGATGGTGGAAAAAGAATTTTTTTCTCTCCACTTTGCTGCTGTTGTTTCTTTGTGACAGGGTCTCACTATGTAGCTCTGGCTCTCCTGGAACTCACTCTGTAGACCAGGCTGGCTTCAGATTCACAGAAGTCAGCCTGTCTCTGCCTCCTCAGCACAGGGATTAAAGTCATGTAACACTACAACCACGATCCACTTTTTAATAGCAGATCCTAAAAAATCAGAATGTGGCCAGGGGGACTGAAATAGGAGCGCACAGGAGTGGGAGTTGTATGTCTGCCTTCAGAGGCTTGGGTGTTCCTGAAGTAGCTGCCAGTCTTGTCAGCCAGGCCTCTTTGACGTAGTCTGAGACTATGCAAAACGACTGTGAAAGTACAGCCTGAAGGAAATGTGTGAGTCACTCAGAGGCTGAGTGAAGACCATGGTCTGTTTATTTGAACTCATGCATTAAAGCTACAGAAATAGGAATCCATGTATCCAGCTTGAAAGCTCATCCTTTTCCTCAGTGAATAGGAATTGATTCAAAAAAGTAAGTAAAAGCAGTATATGGGGAAAATCAAAGTGGAAGATCATGATTGATGAAGGGAGATAAAATATTAATAAAAAAATTTGCATTTCTACACAATTCACTGTATATTTGTCTGAAAAACGCCATGGCCTTCTAAACTTTCAGTCAGTGAAAGGATGATGGTTTCTCCTGGGATTTGTCTACCAGGGAAGCTGAGCACAAACACTAGGAGGTACCAAGAAAGACCACCTTCACTTTGAACCACACCTAACTCATACTGCAAATCCGGGGCATGTTACAGAAGCCCACTTGAATGAAGATGAAAAACTTTAAAAGTAGGATTATTTTACAAATTAAATGGGATAACACAGTGGGCACTAAACCTATTTCTCTCACCCAGTCTCAGGTTTGAGAGATGAACTGTTTAGAATTCCTAAACGGTTGAGGTTCCTTGCACTGGTTCACTTGGCCTGCCACAACAAAACACACAGTAAAGATGGCTGAAAGAGCCCAGTCATGACTCCTGAGTCCTGCAGGCCAAAGGCCAAGACCAAGGTGTCAGCAGGATTGCTTTTCCTGAGGATTGGTCTTGAATTACTCGTTACTGGCTTCTCACTTCTTTCTTCTCATGGTCTCTCTCTCACCTTTATGTAACTCATGTCTGCCAGCTAATTTCTTATTCTTAGGATACTGGTCAGATTGGATTAGGCTCTTTCCTAAAGATTTAATTATTACTTAAAGGTCCCCTGTGTCTCTCCCTCCCTTCTTATTGTCTCCTAACATCTTTGTTTTCTTTCTTCTTTTCTTATGGGTATTTTGAGATCTTCTCACACTGTAGCCCTAGCTGGGTTGGTACCCGTTATATATACTCAGATTGGCCTTGAACTCACAGTTATCCTCAGGCCTCAGCCTCCTTAGTGATAAGACTACATGCACATACACCATGTAGCATACACCAGGCCTGCCTTTAAAGGTCCCATTTCTCTAAATTTAGGACATTCTGAGATGCTGGGATCTAGGGACTCAATACATGGTTTGCAGGGAGCGAGCAAGCACAAGTCAGCCTGTTACATTAAGGAGTGGGAGAAATCTTCCAACCCAACCTCTGTGTGTCAAGGAAAATGCATTCCTATGTTATAAGCAAATACAAATTGCTCTGTCCACATGCATAGGAACACAGAGCAGGGATTGGGCAGGTTGCCCTGGATCAGTCTCTTCCTCTGATGGAAGTGGAGACAGTATGTCCCAGACCAGGCCTCAGGAACCCATGAGAGAACACCTGCAGGGTCTTGTATACGCTACAGGATCAGAATGTCAGCTCGCTGGGACATAATATGGATAAAGCAATGTCAAACTAATTACAAGAGCTAAACCAGCCCCTGCAGATGTTAGATGCAAAAATAAGTGAATTTTGCAATTTCTGGCTCAACTTTTAAAGGAAACTATGGACACAAATAATATGTCTTCCAACAGTTTAGACTGGGACTCCTTCGCAACACTTCAAATTTCATTTGGCCCTTTTCTCTTGGATTCAGGGAAGTGCCAGTGAAGCCACCTTGGTGGCCCTACTGGCTGCTCGGACTAAAGTGATCCGCCAGATGCAGGCAGTCTCCCCAGAATTAACCCAAGCTGCTATCATGGAAAAGCTGGTGGCTTACACTTCAGATCAGGTGAGTGTGCTGGGGTGGGCATTCGCCCAACGCTCTCGCCTCCCCCCATCCTCCACCCTACAGCTGAATCCAAGGAACAGTTAGTTAGCATCATGTCAAATCCAAAAGCTGTTCCCCAGGGATCTTGAGGAGAGAAACTTTTTATTCTATTGTGGGAGCTTGATAGATCTAGTCAGAAATAAAATACACATGCTAAGAGCCCCCACAACTGGCTGGTTACCATTTCTGTACTGTGGAATTGCACCATGCCCCTGTGGCTTGCCTTTAAAGCTCCACTGTGGAAAAATTGGAAGGGAGGCTCCAACCTGATGCCAAATCCCAGCTTTGTAAATCATGTACATTCTCAGAGCCTTTTTTTTTTTATTACCAGAAGGGATAAAAGCACTGTGCTTGCTGTGACCACTCAGTCCTGCTTGTGGCTTGAGAGGACCGGCTTGGAGTTCATTATAATGCTCATAAAATCCTACAGATAGAAGCAAATAGAAAGTTAGTAGTTTTAGCTCACTTATTTTATTTATTTGACTTTTTGATTGACTGCTTTTATTGTTCCTTTTTCTTCATTTTATCTTGTTAGTTGTATGTATGTAATATCTATTATATATACATTGTATATAATACAAAAACAAAAATATATAATATATTATGTACACATTGTTTATAATACAAAACCCCAAGGTATTGAAAAGTATATTATATACACATTGAATATACATTATACACATTTTCTTTTTGTCACCTTTGGTGTGCATCTTGCTGTATATTTAAAATCACACATATAAGTGAAAAACTTAATCAGTGTAGTGCCAGCACTTCACTCTGGTGGTGTTTGATTCACTAGACTGGAAAGCAAGATTCCAGTGTAGAAACATGTCTAAGAAAGAGGTGCTTTCATAAAGGCAGAGAAGAAATCAACTCTGCCATCTTCGTGGGGCATCTAGAGCCTAGATCAAGTGCTCTGCAGAACCAGTGCCTCAGGTGCCAAGAGAACACACCATCATACGGTTAGCTCTACTCTTTCTTGTCACAGGCCCACTCCTCTGTAGAAAGAGCTGGATTAATTGGTGGAGTCAAATTAAAAGCAATTCCTTCGGATGACAACTTTTCCTTGAGAGGTTCTGCCCTTCAGGAGGCCCTGGAGCAAGACAAGGCAGCTGGCCTGATTCCATTCCTTGTAAGTTCAACGCTGGATGGAGATGGTGCAGTGGGATCCTCTGGGCCTGGGGTAGAGTTTGAGGTGTGTGTGTGTGTGTGTGTGTGTGTGTGTGTGTGTGTTTTAGGGGAGAGGTAGTCATTGTCTTCATTTGTTGTAGTGACTTGAATGAAAAATGTCCCCTATAGTGCTAGGCATTTGAACACTTGGTCCCATTTGGTGGCACTATTTGGGGAGTTTTAGGTGGTACAGCCTTTCACTAGGAGTGAGCTTCAAGAAAAAACAACAACAACAACAACAACAAAACTCTTGCACCATTTTCACTTCACTCTTTCTGCCTCATGCTTGAGGCTCGGGATGTGAATTCTTATCTTCCTGTCTCTGTCTCCATGCTTCCTGCCTGCTGTCATGCTGTCCCTGCCATTTTGGACACTAGCTTTCTCCAAGAGTAACTTAGATCTACTTTCTTCTTTGCCCTGGTAATGGTGTTCTGTCACAGCAACAGAAAAGTAACTACAAGATACATGTATACCCCACAAGTAAAGCTCAATCACACTCCAAAGAATAGCTCAAAGCTTATAGTCACACAGACAGCCCTGGTCAAATCCAGTTGGTCACAAGACAAAACAAAACAACCTGAATGTAAGAAAGAAACTTTTTAAAGAGAAAGATGGCATGTCAAGGGTAGGAAGAAGATTGAAGGGAATGGGGTATGAGAGTAACCAGAATGTGTTATATACAAATGTATGAAGTTGCCAAAGAATAAAGTTACTAAAATCACATTTTAAAAGTAATAACTCTAGGCTTTGTTGCTTGGGTTTGGTGCTCTCAGCAGATATCAAGAAGTTCATTTGTGGGAGGCTTGTGAACAAGCGGTGATTTTCCCTCTGAGGTAAAATATCTACCTAGTCAAATGGCACACTGGCTCCTTTGTGCCGAGATATGGATTCTAGTGGGGGCTCCACCTGGTGTCTGGGAATTGTCATGTTTCTGACATAGCCACAGCAGTATGTTCTGCCTGGGACTAATACTTCATGTTTGAAGCAATCAGAGTGTCATGACTGGGGCTCTGTGGGTATTCTGTCTGGCTATATAGTGTTACCAGGGGAGCTGTAGAAATGCTGACTCCAGGCCCTTTTCCTGGATAATTTTGGAAGCATGACTATGGGTAGAACCAGGCATATTTAATAGTAATATTCTAGTGTGCATTTGTGTTTGAGAAAAATGTTCAGAAAAAAAATGATCCCTTTTTTCCCTTTTGTTTTTTCAGCACTGGGGATGGAACCCAGGGCTTATAGGAGCAACCTTAACCCTTATGTAGGGTACCTGCATCCAAACCCTTCTATTATTATTATTTTTAGTAAACTTATGGAATGATTGCTTTACATATGGCTTTTCATTTGTTTGTATGCATGCATGTATGTATGTATTTGGTTTTCCGAGACAGGGTTTCTCTGTGTAGCCTTGGTTGTCATGGACTCGCTTTGTAGACCAGGCTGGCCTTGAACTCCCTCCTCCTGCCCCTTCCTTCCCAGAGTGCTGGGATTACAGGCCTGCGCTACCTCACCCAGCCTCCATACGGCTTTTGAAAACAGCCTCAGTGTGAAGTTATTTTTACCCCAGCTCAGGCTTCACACTGCGCCACCACCTTCTTCCCCACATGGTCTCCCCACCCCATTTTTGTCTGTCAACCCTCACATGACCTGTATTCTACTGTCCTCTCAAACCTTAAACTTTTTATTTATTCCTCTTTACCACTTTGGTCTCGTCCTCCTTTCCTGGTTTCTACTCCAAGGTAACCCCACACATCTAAAGACTGCCACTAGGATCCACATAGAGGAAGTAAAATATGGTGCTAGTCTTTCTGGGTCTGGGTTACCTGACCCACCCACATGCCTGCAAATTTCATTTTTCTTTAAAGTGGAATATTACTCTACTGTGTGTACAAACTACATCTTCATTCTGCATTTGTCAGCTGACAGACGGCAGGCTTTGCTGCCTCTCTGCTGTGAACAGAGCAGCAGTGAACATGGATGAGCACTTATCTCTGTAGTGGGATATTGCTAGCACTATATCCCTTGGGTATATTTCCTGGAGTGGCACAGCTAGGTCACAAGGTAATCCTGCTTCTTGCTTTTTGAAAAGTAGAACTTCACAGTGATATTCATGGTGGCTCCACCAGTTTGTACTCCAGTCAACGGTGAATGCTGTGTCTGTTTTCTCACATCCTCATTTGTTTTCTTGATCTTGGCGTTTTATCTTGTCACAAAAAGAATTGTTTCTTATCCTCATTCTATTTCCATTTCATGAAAATAAGGTGGACTCTAATATCAATGTTAGAAAATATCCATTGTCTTCTCATAGTTTCCATTTCTTCATTTCCTCTCTCCTTGCATTCTGGGCCTATGATTACACGTATTTACATCTTTCCACTGAATATCAGGTATCTTGTATACTCATGCTTTATGCTTCAGTCTGACCTATTTATATTTCTTCAATACTTTGTGTGTGTGTGTGTGTTTCAAGAAAAGGTTTCTCTGTGTAGCTATGGCTGCCGTGGAACTTGCTCTGTATACCAGCCTGGTTTTGAACTCACAGAGATCCACCTGCCTCTGCCTCTGTGAGTGCTGAGATTAAAGGCATGCACCACAGCACCCAGTTCCAATGCTCTCTTTAGCTTGCCTGGTTAATTACCTAGTTAATTAATGATAACTGTTGTTTTAATTATAAACAGTAAAGTTTTTAACTTTTAACTGTGAAATAACTGTGGGTTCATTAAAAATTACAGGGTCTGGAGAGCTGACTCCCTGTTTAAGAACATGTACTGCTCTTGTAGAAGGCAAAAGTTTGGTTCCCAATGTCTATGTCAGGTGGTTCCAAGCTGCCTATAACTCTAGCTTCAGAAGGATTGAATGGCTCTGGCCTCTGTGAGCACCTGCAGTCATGTGCATGCCCAAGCACAGATACAAGCACATAATTTAAAACGATAAAAGAAAAACCTTCTTACAGTTACAAAATTAAAACAGAGGGATCCTACACCCATCATTTTCGCCCCCAAATATTATAGCCAATATAACTGCAGTATAATATTAGAACCAGTTAGCTGGTGTTGGCTTACTGTGCTTGTATAGTTCTATCTTTATAGTGATGATCCTCTAACTATTCTCCTAGTTAAAGTACTGAAGTGTTTTGTTTCTGAAACAGTCTGTTTCCCATAGTCCCTTTCTTTACTCTCATCTTCTTGTCTCCCGTTAGCCTCACAATCTGTTTCATGTTCTAAGTATCAGTAATATTAAGGATGCTATAGCAATGGGGTCATGTAGTATGTAAAAGGCTGAGGTTAGCATCTTTTCCCTCAATTTGTGCCTTTGTGACCCACCCAGTTGTCACTTGTGTTCTTTTTTTAATGCCGTACCACAGATTTGGTACCAACCTGTGTACTTCTCATCACCTACTGAGAAATGCTTGGGCTTCTCCCATTTCCACCAACTGCAAATAAAACATATGTAAACATTAATGCATATATATTTGGGCAGAGAAATAGTTCCATTCCTTTGGAATACATGCTGAAAGAAATTAACAAAATATTTTCTAGACTGTCTTATCAGTCCACTAGTCAGCATAAAAAATTCAGGGTTACTTTTTGTCATTGTTATTTGCTTGTTTTTTGGCTTTCTCATAAGCATTTGGTGTTTATCATTATTTTTTATTTTAGTTCTAATGATAGGAGTGTAATAATATCTCCTAGGGACATCATAATCATTTCTCTGATGACTAACACTGTTAAATGTCTTTTCATGTGGATATTTACCATCCATCCATTTTTAGTAAAATGTGAAATCATTTTTTTTGTCCATGTTCTAAATACTTGATGGATTTTTTAAAGATTTTTTTTTAAGAGACAAAGAAAGTGTGTGTGTGTGTGTGTGTGTGTGTGTGTGTGTGTGTGTGTGTGATGTGTAGGTGCCCTCAGAGTTCAGAAGAAGGTGTTGGATTCCTTTGGAGCTATAGTTTGTTCCAGGCAGCTGTGAGCTGCTCCATAATGGGTACTAGGAACTGAAATTGGATCCTCTGCAAAAACAGTATGTGCTCTCAGCCGCTAAGACATCTTTCCAGCCCCTGAATTGATTTTTAACTTTTTTCCCTTTTAAATACAATGTTTTTATGAATTCCATGAGGATTTTGTACGACGTATTTTTATACTATTCACCCCCAATTTCTCTCCCTAATTCTTTTCAAATCTACCCACACCTCTACCCGCTCCCAGACCCTTGTCTCTCTTCCCTCCTATTAAAATAACTTGCTGAGTCTACTTTGTGTTGCCCAGATCCTCACGGGTGTGAGAGGATCCACTGGAGCGGAGCTGACATACCAGGGGCCACACCCTTAAAGAAAACTGACTCTCCTCCCCAGAAGCCATCAATAGAAATCCTGCCTAGGTTTTTTTTTCTTTTTCTTTTTTTTTCTTAAAGTAACAGATTGATTTTGTTAGAGCAGTTTTAGATTGCTGCTGTCACAGAATACCTAACAGAAATAATTTAAGGAGGAAGGAATTATTCTGGCTCCTGGTTTAGGGAACACAGCCTATCAGATGGCAGCAGGGGCTGCTTGGAGGGTAGTTGGAATGTGAGGCAGCTGTTTAATCACATCAGCAGTCAGAAAGCACAGAGCTCAGGCTAGAAGGGAGCTGGCCAAGAACTCATGAGGCCTGCCGACAAAAACCCACTTCCCCTAGCCAGGCCCCATGTCCCAAATGTTCTACAGCATTCTAAAGCTGCACCGCCACCTGTGCAAGTGTTGAAACACATAAGCCTGTGAGGGACATTCCACATTCAAGCCACAACTCAGCCACAACTCAGGTTCACAGAAGAAAAATAGAACAGAAAGTTTCCATACTGACTTACATGTTTTCCAAATGTCTTCTCACAGTCTGTAGCTGGTTATAATCTCTGAATCTGTTTCTTTTGTCTTTGGTGAGACAGATATCTAATTTCAGTGAAGTACAACTTATGCTTTCCTTC